ACATGGTCCTGACATCGCCCAATAGCTTTTCATTTCGCCTCTCGGTTTTGGCGCATGTACTCATGAAAGCTTCAGATAAGACGACCCTTTCTCTTCTGCGCCCGTGTGCGTGGAGGTCAGTGCTTAAGTGAGATGCTTAAGAAGCCACCGGTCTTATCACAGTAGCTTTTCCAGTGTGGGCCGTGGCCGTGAGCCAGAGGGCCCAGCGCTCCCAGCCGAATACCTCAGCTGATAGGATGTGCGCTGCACGACTTTGGCTTGAAGTTTCTCCTCTTAGATCGAGAGAAATGAATCTGTAGTCTGATATGAACAACAGGAGAGGAAGGCAGCGTAGAGAACTGTACATCTTATATCTTAATTTTTAAGCATGGGAGCTCCAGGACTCTGAACTTATGTCTGCACGATGCCCAAAGGTCCTTAATTCAAAGGAATATATTAATCCAAGTGAGTACTAGTTGGTCAGATAATAAAACATCTTACTGATCACATTTTAAATTTCTCAGTCAGTTGTTGGTAGTAGTAATAAAACTTAGCTAACGTTTAGTGATTGTCTCGTGTGCTCTGGCCACTCTTCTACGTGTTTTATCAATATCGTCGTATATACTGTGAATAGTAATAATAATATGGTTCTTAGTACAAGGAAAACTTCAGTTTGCCTGAAGATTTATACTGTTTTTAAAGTAATTCCAAATGGGAAGGGGCAGGTCGAGGCAAGGTGAGAGGGGCATGAGATGGCAGAAAATGAGGCTGTTTTCCCTCCTTTGCTAGACTTTCTCCTTCCTCCTTTCCATTCTCTCTCTTGTCTTTTTCCAGCTTTCTGTTCCGTCTCGCCTCTGTCACCACGTAGCACCATCCCCCTCCGGCCCCTGCTGCTGCTGGCTTTCGGAGCAGATGGGGAAGGTTTATCACTGGTGAAGAGGGAGTGGCTTGAGTCTCTCTCCCCTTCTAGACCCTGCATTTCCTGGCCTTTATGAGTCAGGACCTTCTGAGTGACGGGAGAGCGGTTCTGCTTTTTGTATCAGTTTACACAATTGCCAAGATTCTTGGCACAGCATTCAGACTTAGGGTGGTGAGAGCTCGAGAAGCCCCAGGGGATGTGGAAGAAGACACTGAAGGGAGGGGAAACAAGAACTACACTTTTGGTTTGTGCCAGAGCCCAGAAAGTTGGCTGCATCGGGTGAAGTGGGGCTCTCGCTCGGAACGTGAGTTTGCGAAGGTGTGTGGGAGGGGTGTTCAGTTACAACTGCATCCTTCGCTCCTACTTCTCACATTTAATGAGATTGGCAACAATAAATTTGTCTTTCCAGGTGTTATGGTATATATTTCCATGCTTCCTTTTCACTTCACTTTGAAGAGCTTCCAAAAAAAAAATTTTTTTTTATGGGAAGGGAAAGGGGGGTTTGGGATTCTGGCCCAGTTTTTAAATCATACTGACATTTTTGACTTTCGGGGCATACGAGTTGAATTTTATTGCTTTTTTGTTGCCCTCATAACTGTGGCAGGAAAGAAGGCAAGGATCACTGTCAATTTCTGAGGCTGGTTTACAGGTTTTGGCAAAGAACCCAGCTAAGCCACTGACCTGTGTAAGCCACCAAGGTGAATTGCACCAGCCAAGGGGCCAAAGGACTACCTGCCACCGTAGTCTGACCCCGTTACCTAGGCTGGCCTCGTGATGTGGTGCAGCTGAGAAAGGCAGGATGATCCAAAGAGTGCGAGGCTGGGGATGGTCTTGTGTGTAAGTTGACCGACACCTTCATCCAGACAGATACTTCTGACTTTAGGGCATGTGAGTTGCTGGATGTTTTTGCTGTTTTGTTCCCTGCACAACTGTGGCAGGAAAGAAGGTAATGACCACCGTCAGTTTCTAAGGCTGCATGGAACTCTCTTTCGCATTCTCCAGTGCCAGGAGGTAGCTCTTCCCCCTCTGTGGTCCGCTAGGCATCCCTCCTAGGCCCATCAGTGGCTAGCTGTTTACCTGTAGGCAGGGTTCAAGTTCCCAATAAGAGCAATTGAGCTCCCTTGCCCTCACTAAAGACCCAGGTGTTTAGATGGAAGGTTTAGAAATAAATAGGATGGGGACTTTGATTCATTGTTTAGCCAGTGTATAAATGCCATTTCCTAAGATACTAACATCTCTCTAGGCAGATGATCCCTCTTCGAGCCTGGGGTTTGG